TTGAACTTCACGAAAAGTCACACTCGGACAAACGTACAGACACCTACACTGATATTTTTTATCTTCAAGTGTTTTATTCTCCATAAGTTGTATACAATCAATGTATATGATTTTTTTTCTAAATAGGTACTTCCTCCTCTCTTTTTTGGTCGTTCAACGGTAAAATATTTTTTGGTCAAACTGATTTTATTTGATAATTTACAAAAATAATTTTTAAATAATGAAGCAGTTTTACGTCTGTAGTTGAATTACATTCGAAAATGAGTTTTTGGCATAGCAGACGGAAATATGAAAATGAGAACTAAATTTAGAAAATGTGGCAAACCCGGGTCTTTATGGTCTCCAGCCTTAATGTGCTAACCAGTTTTCGAAACTGTATCGATGGTGTAGTGGTTAGTACATTAAGGACGGAGACCATAAAGACCCGGGTTCAAATCCCGGTCGATCCGCATTTTTTTAATTTAGTTCTGATTTTCATCTTTCCTTCTGCTATGCCGAAAACTCATTTTCGAAAATAATTTTTAAGTTCAATTCTTGACCTTATTGTTTGATTTCAAAGCATCATCATTTTATAACCGGTTTCAGGAAAACGGAGAGAAGAAGTATTTGAAAAGTGTTAGCTATAAAAATACAAATTGCCAAAAGAAAATAATTATTCACGACAATATTCTTATTAAGGAAGGATGTGGGATGAAACAGGTATGAAAAACTTTTTTATAATCATCTATACATACTCAAGAAACATTATTTATTATTTCACAACAATTATTCAGAATGCTGTGATTGGAAAACATAAATATCGCAATTACACTCTATTGTAATTTGAAACCCTTAATAATAATAATAGTGCCTCATAAAAACTCCTGAAGTGTGCTCCAAGGTATAGCAGATGCGAGTAGAGGACGGCTATTATTATTATTTGCCGTGGCTAATACTATAATAACTAACAGTAGCTATATAATTGAACACTATGTGCAAAATTATTCACTTATATTTTCTTTCCTCCGCAGTATAAAAATTCAAACGAAAAAATAGTAGAATGTAGTTTACGAAAGGGAAGAGTGTGGGATAAAAAAGATCGTTGCCTATATTGCAACACAGATGTCACAAACTTTTCGAGGCATCTTTTTAGAAAACATGCCGAGGAAGAGAGTGTCCAGAAAATCTTATCACAGCCTAAAGGGAAGCATAGTAGAAAAAAAATGATTGAGCTGTTGAGGAAACAGGGCAATTTCTCGATGTTGAATAGCGCCAATATAGTTAGACCTGTTNCATCAATTTCTGGAATTTTTTAATTTGGATCTTATTCTTGAAACACATACTGAATAATATTTGCGACAGCAGAGTAATATACAGAAGGATAAGTGGGAATATCAACTGAGGGGTGTTGTAGGGAAGTTTTTGGAGTAGAGAGAGTCTGAGGACAAACTCACTTCTAGGAGATATAATATTTTAAAATTGTCATATATCTAATAAAAATTGGACTAAGACTTCATTCACTTACTCTTTACTATACTCTACTGTTGTAATTTTAGTTTATGTTCTTATAATTCTAGATATACAATATTTATAACGATTGGAAATTAATACATTCAATTCTTTCCAAAAGACAGGAGAACTATTCACTTTGGTTGTTGCCGCATTTATCGACTATGTTCTCTTTTTGGTAAAAAAAATCCACTGATATATAATCGATCAAAAACCTCTTGAATAAATTTCACGTCAACTGTGTGTTTCAAGCATCCACAATTTTTCAGTTCACATCATCTAACAATATATCATTCCAGATTACCTCAGGATGTCTTTCAAACAGCTAAAATCGCTAAACTGTTACTGATGATGGAAAAGGGAGTTGGTGCTGAAAATAAGGGACGGACGTTGAACGAAATCGATATGGAATTGGAAATGTGGAACAATGTTGACATGAAACAAGAGATAACTCGCTCCAACTCCATTGAAGATTCTCTACAACATAATGAAACTGTTCAGGACCAATGTGACGAAGAAGAGCATCCAAAGGATGTGCACTCAACTAGCACGATTGCTGAAAAGTTTATCGGTATGTTACTTTGACATTTTCAGCATTGGCTTCCAACTGATAGTTTTCATTTATAGAAGAACCAGTGAAGAGAGAGATCGCTCTGAAGAGAACATCCACTAAACAATCCACACGAGGTACATGGACAGCAAAACAAAAATCAATTATGATATCTTATTTCAAAACCCACTTGAAAAATAAAATAGCACCAAAGAAAGCTGAGTGTATCAAACTCATAAATGAGAAACCTGATTTGTTTATTGATAAGAAATGGGTTCAAATAAAAGCTTTTATCTATAATACATATCGTTTACCATAACTTCATTATTACAGGAGCTGCCTCATTTCATCATTTTTTTGCATAGAACGATATTTTGTTTCTTTATTTTTATTAAATACTTACTGAATATTTTGCTGTTTCATTTACATACATATCTACACGATCGGAGAGGAATGAAAAACAAAATTATCACGATTCTAAGCATATTGCAATGTGTGGAATTTCTCTTTTATAAGTTTCTGGATCAAATTATTCACAAAAAAACAATGTTTCTGTTACGTTTAAGTATATCGAGGGTAAACACTTTGCGGATCATTGCTATTCAATTATGCTTTTTCAGAAAAAACAGAAAGCGTATAATGAAAAATAGGCCAAAAATAACTAAACTTCTGATAAATGTAGCGTTAAATGTCGAAAAGCTACCTTATGCAACGCATTAATTTTTGTGATATTCGTTATAAAATATACTTACTACCCCCATTAACAAAATACTACCCAATAAAACTCGCGTGTTTGGTAACTCCAGGAATGATTTTTATTCTACAATATTATTCATTTAATTTCTGCCTCCACCATAAGAATGTTTACATATCATTTTATACCTGAACGTCTCAATACCTTGAAAATTAATTAATTAATTACTTTCGTTTGTCCACATACTTACGATTTTACATGGTGCCATGTGTTATTATCAATGTCCCCATTTTTACTGAAAAAACTATGATCGGAAATCATTTTTCTAAGTTCACATACCAATTTCAAATATTAAACAATTGAAGAAAACTTAAATATATTCACAGTTTTGACATATATTATTTTTTGTTGATTCAACGAAATCAAGGAAATATATATGATACTTGACCTTTCTAATCTTGATAATTTCACATAAGCAATCATGTCTCATCTGGAGAAAAGTAATAGTAATAACAACGAGACGAATTTCGTCCGAAAGGATAAGAAAAAACGGATTTATCTTCGTACGCCACAGATTTCACCCAGACCACTCTGTCGAGATTGTTGTTCTGATTACTGGAGTCCTTGATTTAATGAAGCCCTCACTACTCTCGAATCTCAAAATCATACCGGCTTGCCGCACAAAGGCAGAAATATTAGCCGGACAAATACAGAAGGCTGTCATTCTTGGCTCACTGTGCTTGCATATGGCACATGATTCCCGGATCCAATGATCACTCACCCCTCAGTGTAGTCGTTGATAGATAATGCTGACGTGCCCTCCTGATTGTATCGGGACTCCAGGAAATAGGGTCTGATCAAGTAATAATGATGAGCGGTGGAATGGCGCAATGGTATTACGTCCGACTAATCAACGGTAGGTCGTGGGTTCGATCCCAACTTTGATCAGATATTTCTCTCGAGAGAATATGTCTAGTGGAAATTAGGATGAGTCTGCAACGTCACATGGCTGACGAACTGCGAATACTAACGATGCTTCGAAGGTGGCTTGGAAAGTTATCAATATTAACTATCCAGAACACGAGATCAATGACCAAGCACTGGTGATGATGACTGTGGTGATGCTGGTTTTGATGATGACGATGGTTGACAGACTGCGAAAAATAACGATGCTTCCAAAGTGGTTTAGAAAGTTGTCAATATTAACTAACCAGAACACGAGATTTATGACCAATCAGTGGTGATGATAATGGTGATGATGACTGTGGTGATGCTGGTTTTCAGAATGATTATGATGATGATGATGACGACGACGACGCCGACGACGACGACGACGACGATGATGATGATACTTATGGTGGTGGTAATGATAATGATGATAATTTTGATGCTGACGATAAATTTTCGGAATTATCGGATAATAACAAGTTTACTGTTTATTTTACATGTGTCATTTGGGGTTGTGAAATTTATCTAAAGCATTCGGGATGTAACACCAAACGTCGCTGGTGTTAACCAGCAGCAGGTTGTTACCAGTCCGGTCTAGTATTCGATTCTGTGAAGTTGGTGAGCTGATGCTGCAAATATCACTTAGTTAAAAATTTTGAGAGAAAGAAAATTCATTTATTTTTTCTCGATCTCCTTCCGTTATTGGAAAAACCGTTGAACACTCGTTATGAGAGGTTACAGTTCAGAAATCATATTATTTTTGAAATTGAATGAATTATAATGGGTAAGGTCCTTGGGTGCAATGCATCCACACTTCACTTCAGTAAAATTGATTTTAGACAAATCTATCAGGCTTTCTTTAGTAGTATATTGTGAATCAATCTCGTTCACAGCAACACTTGAATAGAATAAGATATATTTGAATCGCTAACCTCGGTTAATTGAATAAATTCGAGCATTTTTGCATGTTCTCGGACTTAGTTGATTACCAAACAAGTTTTTGAACGTTAAATAACGTTCATTCATTTCATTATACTTAATATATGCCTGCCATAAAATACCTACTTCCCTGGCTTATACCACATTGGAAAGTGAATTATATTATTGTAGAATACCACACAGTTCAGCATGACCATGCTGAAATCAGTCGAGGTATTACCTGACATCAGTGCAGGAAAGATCCGACCTACATAGTAAAGTATTTGACACTTGATTAATATCAACGCGGCTCCGCTGCAAATATGAAACCTTCGTCTGAGAGAAAGATTGTGTGGGATCTTTCCTGCATCAGTGCAGNAAAATATGTGACATTGTGGTCATCCTTCATTGGGTTTTATTTTTACAAGCCATATCAGTGGACGTTGGTCAAGCTAGTGTTGTAGTTTGGAATATTTTGGATATTTTGGATATATGACCAACGCCATACTCTTCGGAGGATTCTAGAATACCACGCCGACCTTATTGCTGGAGAACCAGGTCAAGCCGTCGTAATACGACTGTAACTCGCCGATTAATCACATCTTTCCCATTCCCAGCGGCTAGATCGAGCATAGCTGTTCAGAAATAAACCCCTTCCGGCCAGGGTAAGTTACGTCTTTCAATCTTGATTCTCCTATTTCATTCATTCATTTGAATGTGCCAAACCTTCATGAGATGATAACAATTTTATTGTACAGAGTTGCAAGATTTTAATTTATTCATATAAATTACTGTAAATTCATAAAGATTATTTTTAGTGGGTTTGTTTTGTAATTTTTATTTGGATTTTGCCGTCAGTATTCAGGGGTTCAATTATACGGGGTACATACCATGTTCGTAGTATACTCACCGTCTCCAGATATCTAAATTCATTTTATTTCTTATCGGTATTTATCTAATTTGAACTTCCATATTCTGACAGAGTTTTTCCTTCCCTTCCTACTGCCCGGAAAATCCATTTCGGTCCAGAATATTCTTCCTTGCCTGGATTTTCTTTTCTTATCTGGCTGGATTCTACTTGGATATCAACTTGGGTTGCAACAACTACTGGAACTTGGGATCATCTTCCTTGAGGTACCATAATATACCGGGTGTGCCATTATTAAGCCATCGGAGCAACACACCAATAAAGAAAACAACACGGTAGCTATTGTTAATTTGATTCCACAGTTGAACTGTTGTAGTTATAATAATTTTTAGTTTAAGATTCACATCGGAATTATATGTATATATGTATTTATGTGAAGCGGAAATTGAGATAGGTGGTTGCATTTGCCTACCCTGTATTGTCTTCTAAACGGTACGCGCCTGAGCTCAAGCGATACTCATTCCTTCCTAATTATACTTGGTAGAAAAACCCAATATATTTGACATTCCGGCTTAATTTCTGCGATTAGTGTACTTAGGTTATTTTGTAATGAAACTTTAATTGATAACAAGAGATTTGGGACCAGTATCTCTTGATGATAGAGGTCTACGGTATATTTGTAGTGAGCTTGAATATTTATATATATTTTTATTGTTGCTTAAAACTAGTGTGATAGTTGACTGATACTACATTACAATCCAGAGGTAATTTAGTTATATGTTGAATGCTCATTCTCTCACTCAACTTCAACTTTTATTGTGTGGTAGGTTAATTATCTCAACTTTTGATTTGTGTTCTCTCAGGATAATTGTACCGAATAAACTCCTTTATTTTGACTCTATTGTGGTTACTTCAATCCTTTTGGTAGATTCGGGGGTTGAAATTGGTAACAGGGTATTTGAATGGGGAATTGAATTTACCTGGCGCCCATTAACATCTTTATATTANCTAGCACTAATGAAATGAAGTATAACATATTATTAAATTATAAGTATTACACTCAAGCCAAACCTATTTTTCAAGATGAGTGTTAATGTCAGAGGTTGAAGTGTTTTTTCCGTATAATTTGTCATTTTACTTTTAAGTTTCACCACTGGAGATTGAAAACACTCGTATATTACAAGAAACTCTTACAAATAAGCTTTACTTTTATGCGTACATATAATTACTAGTGTTCTAATAATCTGATTAATTTACAGATTGAAAGATTACGATGATATTTGGAGAGACCTCAGAATCAAATCTCAGTTGTATAAGCATATTTTGGTTCCATCGCATTGTGTCTACAGCGAAGGAGCCAGTCATGCTATTTATGAACATATTTTTGCGGATCGAAGACTACCCAGACAATCACCAATTATATACCTGAAAGCTGTCAAGAATTACGTGGAAATAAAAGGAATGCAGAATGCAAACATTCGAGATTCTGCAGCTGTTTGTGATTGCTTTGCTTATTTAGAAAAACTAGTGGGTTAATTATGACCCCTTTCAATGCATTTTACACCAATATTTCTGTTACAGATGAATGCCAACGAAAAATTGATGGAGCTGGATATAGTTGAACTCCTCAACGAATACAGATTTGAACAAAACGGTAGTTTGGGCAACAGTTTCAGAACCGTGGCAGGTTATTCCTCAAATGCTGCACATCCGAACTATGAACCCACAGTGAACACAAACGTTCAGATTTTTAAAAATAGCACTTTGGTTTTAGAATCAGGAGGACAATATTTTGGTACGTATGAGTGGAAAACAATTTTCTAAAATGAAGAAAAGAGTATTGTTTTTTACCACTTTTATTTGTAACTAACGTTACTGTAGGTTCGTCCTATAAGGACATTTTCAAACTTATACATTAAACTAACAATGATTGAATGAATGAATGAATGAAAATCGTATATTTACAAATTATTTACAGTTGTTACAATTTTGTGAGTGTATGTGTTTGTGTAGGGCCCTGCTATAGGCTTATGCCTCTTCAGGGTGAGTGAGTTATGTGTGTGTTTTGTGTTTTATGTTGGTGTTTGTGTTGTGTTGTTTTGTGTTCCAGTTTTCTTGGTTGGTTTTTATGTTGATCCATGTGGTAGTCCGGGTTCATTGCGGTGGTCGGTGGTCCAGATGTTATGATTCAGTACGGGTTTTTGGGCCGGGGTTGTGTGTGTTTTAGGATATCGGTACTTTCCGTCGCGCTGCTGTCAGGTATCCGCTATCTGTATCCCAGTAGGAAATCCTCTAGATATATATGAAAGCCGTGGATTTTAGGAATTTCTTCCTGACGTTTCGCTGTCGCGAGGTTTAACCATCATGGCTTGCTGTCTGATGATTACCTTTTCGGCATCGTAAAGCGTGTTTATGCCTTGTCAGGTAATCAGTTGTATTTGTACCTGTATTTGTACCTGCATTTGTACCTGTACTCGTTCCTGCACTTGAACTTGGACCATTAACAATCTTGCTGCGTGTTGTCATTCTGTTCGTTATTCTCGAATTCCTTAAAATGGGTTTCCATATTCGATTGAGGTTCACCGGTTCTTCTTTTCGGTTGAACTTCTCTGTGTGTTTGTGGATCTCTACTGCCTCCCTTTCAAACAAAATTCTGTGGTCTCCTTCACTAAGTGCGTGTTCTGCCACAGCTGATTGTTCGTTTGGCCTAGTCTGCAGTTCCTTTCATGCTCTTTTAGTCTTGTTCCCATGGATCGATTGGTGGTTCCGATGTATACCTTTCCACAAGTGAACGGTATGCGATAGACCCCTGCTGCTGATAATGGGTTTCTTTTGTCGTTAGGTCGGCAACACATTGAAAAAACGTGAAAGGTATAATTGATATTTATTGACGTTTGATTCGATATTTGATTTTTTTCTCTTTCAACGGGGAAAGTGTTTGGATACGGTTAGAAACAGAAAACGGTTGTCATTTTAAAATTTGAGAGAAGATCTACTTAGCCTGGGACGCTGGAGCAATAAGTCAATTACAGTTGTAGGTGTCTCAAAGGAGTCTTATATGGAACTGAAATAATTTAGTAAAAGTTGAAGTTTTGTTATCTTTACGTTGAAGAATATTGGCACAATGAATGTGTTTCCCAAAAGACAATTTATTATCTACAGAAATTGCATGTCTTTGACTTCCAATTAGTGAAATAGTGATTACCACAACCCACAACTAAAAAAATATTTTTTATATTCAAAGAATATATATTGAAATGTATTGAAGTATTTCAGGAAAGAACTATACCATTAAAATGAACGAAACTCGGAGAGAACTTCAAAAACACGGGGCAGATGCAATGGTAGTCACAGCGTTGGATGAAATCGCTTGGCTGTTGAATATCAGAGGTAGAGACGTACCAAACTCGCCATTTTTGAGAAGCTACGTCATATTGGACATGCACAACATATTTCTTTACGTCAATATCAGCCAGCTTCAAGATAATAACGTTAGAGAAAATTTGCATTCCGATTCCAGAATTGTAAGAAGTGACTCTGTTTTGTAAGTATTCTACAATCCTTCGGAATTCAACTAGAAAAAAACAAAAGGCTTACACTTGGATTTCTAGTTTTCCATTGATATACAGTGTGTTTCAAATTCGATTCTCACCATTGGGATCTCGGAAACTATGAGAGATACGAAGATAGTTAAATCGAGGCAAAGTTGCGCATTTACCTGACTAACAATATGCCGTTGAGAAAGTTCTGAAATTCCGAGTATATTCGGAGATATACGGAAAAAACAGAAATTTTAGTAAATGGTTTTTATTTTTTTATGGCTTCATTTTTCGAAGGATTCGAAAATGAATTTCTCTTCCGCATTGCCACTTTCTCCCTGCTACATGATGGTGTTTTCTGATTTGCTATCCGATGTTTCGTCTTCAACTTTATTCTTTCTCATTGGCGCTACATTGGATTCTTACTGTTTTGAATAGAACCAGATTTTACCTTTCCAATAATGTACCATAGGTTATCATTCTTTTTCGAAAAATTGGATATATTGAAAAAAATAAGTCTTAACATGATAATCTTTGATTTTGATATTTCTAAATTTGCCTTTCAATTTATTACACTTAATGACATTTTGTTATTGTATAAGTCATTGAATTTCTGGCAAAAAATGGCGAGTGAAGAAAAAAGAAATATGATACATACAAATATGATTACAAATACGATAGAAACAGTGTTAGGACTTCGGAAATGTAATTAAACTTGTATCCCGAAAGACGACAACCACGTCGAATCATGTTCAAGTTATTGGATCAAAATCTCACCGAGTTTGGTTCGTTTGAAAGGCCAATGAAAAAATACGGAGGCAGATTCAACAATCAAAATTTGATAAAAGAGGTGTGTATAAGGTAAATTAGACATTGTGTTCTTTTCAATGAAGATATAATTTTGAACAAATAACAATAATTAACTACAATGTAAAGACAAAAGTAAATCACAGCAAATGTTCAGAATGTGGGCCTTGTTCATGATAACACAACTATGCCCTTCTTAGAATATTATTAACTGCACGATTAATTTCCCTCCTCCTCAATCTTTCGAAATCTCTAACAATGCTATTCTATCTTTGTAAATTCCTGCCCACAAAAAAACTATATTTACTAGAGGGTAACTCTCATTCTCCATCATTTCAAAACAATTTAGTTGGGATAATTTTTTTTCTTTTCAAAAATTCGAAAAACAATAGTCAGGCACTTGAGGAATATTTTTTTAAGCGATCAGTGTAAGTTGGATGAAAATCGGATAACTGGTTGAGAAACTATAAGTAAAATACGTTTCAAGTGGGCATGGATTCCTCTTAATACTAAATCTTACTTACGGTCAAATTTCTCGGAACTGCCTGGGGTTGTTTATGCTCCAAATATGTTCGTTATTTCGGTTGAATATCCCATAATTCGTTAAGGTGCTTTCATCTGTCCAAATTACATTTTCCGGGAAAACAGGAAAATCAAGGCTTCTTATTAGCCAATTACAAAACTCTAATCGCCTTTCGAAATCACCTGGGTGCAATTTTTGGGACATGTGTATTTTGTCAAATTTTAAACCACTTTTTTTTGAGATGTCTCCAAGCACTTGTATGACAAATATTCATTTCGGAGGAAATTTGACGTGTAGATTTCCCCGAGTTCATGTTTATCTGTAAATTATTGAATTTTATTGGACAGGACAGAATGTCCGACTTACCTCGTACATACCTCATTTATCAATTTTTTTTTAATTTTCTGGTCCATTTTTCTCCGTATTTTTTCCTCGGCGTTCAAATGAACCAAACTCGGTGAGATTTTGATCCAATAACTTGAACATAGTTCGATGTGGTTGTCGTCTTTCGGGATAAACGTGGACTTTTGAGTTTGGAGTGTCTACATGACAGAATGGTACTGGATACAGCCTGTTAAGTCATTAGGAGTTCGAATCCCCTTCTTTGCATGGTCCGTGACCATGAGAGAGCAGAATTGGAGCATTTCTCTCTAGGGCAACTGCCCGAGCAGCTGATGAACTCGGTATAGTTTTTGACACTGAACGAGGTGACCACAACTCTGTCATTCAGTTGGAACCAGTTCAGCAAAAAGCTCAGATAAAAGCCGCAGAGATCACCTTACTTCTGGGGAAACACAAGGATGAGCCAATGCATGGGGTCTTCTCCAATAACATTGGAGACCTTGGCTAATCAAAGCGCCTGACCTTCGCTTTCCTCAGATCGAGTGGGCTGAAGTCGGAAACTGAGGGGTTCATCATGACTTGCCAGGATAGTGTCTCAACACCTTAATCTACCGCAGTCGCGTGATGGGTATAGAGGTTCCTGAAACAAGGTGCAGGGCCTGCCGCGAGGCGCCCGAGACCCTAATGCACTTGCTATCACCATGTCCAGCATATGCGGTCTCGGCTTATATCCATCAACATAACGCGGCCCTAAGAGTACTATATTATCATCTACGGCACTCTTACGGTATTGACGAGACACCGGTGTTGCCCTACGCTCCGGGGGATATTGAATCCATTGTGGGGAACGAGAAGTGCCGAATTTATTGGAACTATTCGTTCCCCACCCTCAGGCTCATGCATGGTAATAAGCCTGATGTGGTCCTTCTCGACCACCAGAGCAAAACGATATTTGTCGTGGATTTTTAAGCTCCTGGCGAGACCAATATCGTCAGAAAAGTGGAGGAAAAACGGATAAAATATCGAGATTTTCTCTTCGAACTCCGCAGATTCTATATAGATCACTCTGTCAAGATGGTTGTTCTGATTTTATTGGAGTCCTTGGTGGTGTTACGTTGATTTTTGGCACTAGCCATTATTTAATAATACTCTCTTTACTATAAAGGTATATTGATTTATTTTGCATGTTATGTATATACTTTATCAAATATTATACTTGATACAGCATTCTATGATCATCCAGTATGGTGGGTATGCTTATTGAATCCGTGGTTGTATGTCTGGTAGGTAAATTAATTCAACTTCAACACGTAACCACACGTTATAGTGTAACCTTGCGAGCATATCCTTCCTTAAGTGGTCTTAGCTTTAGTAGTCGAATCACCCTAAACTATTCGACGACTTGAAGTGTGGTAGTTTATTTGATGCATTTCTTAGAGGACCCGTAAACGTAAATACACAAAAGTTGCACTTTGGACTGGTGTATAATCAAAAGATGATGGTGTTATAGTTCATTTTTATAGATTTCTTGATGAGGCCGACCTGTAAGAAACAAGAATGATTATTAGCGAATATCCGACATACTTAGGTACTGCCTCACTACTAAAAGAATAATGGGAAACATTGTAAATATACTTACCGCTTAACTAACAGTTGTTTTTCGTCATAAGATTTCAAAAGCATCGGATGGTTCCTCCAAATTGTCTGTTTACATTTTTCAGAATATGCGAGGCTTGGTTAGGATCGATAGAACGCAAATTGTTTTTATTTTACGGTTGACAGTATTGCCAAATTCCGAAATGTAAATTCATCAATATAAACAGCTGATGATAGTCGGTGGAAAATCGTAGGTTACTTTAAATGTTTATTTATATTGTTCGTGCATTATGATTCTCATAAATGGTTCAGGCACGGTACTCCTGTTATTAGGAGTATTTGATAATTTAAAAGGTTCTTTCTAACAACTGACCAGTGGCTACTACCGAATTCTATTCGGTTCTGAGGCAGCAATTGCTCCTATAAAATAGGCTGAATTAAGATGTCATTAGAATTCAACCTCCTGAGTTTTGATTGGTTATCAAGGACCGTTGGCAGTCAGGAACGATCCTAGTGGCGATTTAACAAGATTCGTTTTTTTGTTTTTTCTTTTGTTTCGGCAAAAAGGCAAGTGTGTGCCTTCGTTGACTTGTAGAAAAATATGTGACATTGTGGTCATCCTTCATTGGGTTTTATTTTTACAAACCATATCAGTGGACGTTGGTCAAGCTAGTGTTGTAGTTTGGAATATTTTGGATATTTTGGATATATGACCAACGCCATACTCTTCGGAGGATTCTAGAATACCNCCCCTTCTTCACTGTAGCTAGCGGCAAATGCCCACCTGTCCTTCGACACTGGTGTGCGAGGAACCCCTAACGTGATACTGCTCACGGGGTAGGTTTCAGTGGAATGATGTCCTCTCTACTCTCGAATCTTAAAATCATACCGGCTTGCCGCACTGAGGCAGAACTCTTAGCCGCACAGATGCATATACATATAATACATATACATATAATACATCATTGAAAAGTAAAATCTGATGCTATTTAAAATAGAAAGAATTCAATGTAGCGCCTATGAGAAAAAATAAAGTTGATAATGGTGGCCGGAAGACGAAAGGTCGGATAGCAAATCTGAAAACACCATTATGTAGCAGGGAAAAAGTGACAATATGGAAATAAAGCCAGAAAAAAAATGAAAACCATTTCCCGAAATTTCTGTTTTTTCCTGATATCTCCGAATATACTCGGAATATCAGAATTTTCTCAACGGCATATTATTAGTCAGTTAGTTCCGAGATCCCAACGGTGAGGATCGAATTTGAAACACCCTGTATAGAATAAAAATGTGATGGAATTGGCCAATATTTGATACTTTATTTTATTTTACTTTATTGTAAGATTTTCACTTGATATTTTACAAAACCGCAACACCTGTTTCACTATGCAATAGTTACTTAAGGTATGTTTGTTTTATTTCAATAGATATTTTTCAAAAAATGATATGAATTGATTTGAAATCCCTGGAAGAATTTGCAAAAAATCAAAAAGAGATTAGCTGAAAAATAACAATTATATGAAGCAAAGAAAAACTGAAATAACATACGAGCACCAACCAAAAAAATCAAGAAAAATTGAACTATTGATACGAGATGAAAATTATTAACAAGAAATAAAAATTAAAAATTAAAAGATTCCAAACCAAGTTACTTCATGACGTTTCGATTGTTAGTATCCACAACCGTCTTCGGGTGATACCATAACTTATTCCTCCGAGATCTAACTATTTATAAGTGAAAGCATTCGAATGACCTATAAATAGTCAGATCTCAGAGGAATTCAGTTATCAACCGATTGTGGATATTAACAATCTAAACGTCATGAAGTAACTTGGTTTGGAATCTTTTAATTTTTAATTTTTATTTCTCATTAATTTTTTTCCATCTCGTGTTAATAGTTTTTTTTTATTTTTTGGTTGTTGCTTGTATTTCTTTTCATTGTAATTTCAGTTTCTTTTTGCTTAATATAATTGTTATTTTTCAGCTAAATTCCAAACTATGAGTTTCAGACCATAATGTATTCTACTTTTGAAATCTGTTTCTCATGGAACATCTGATAATGTTGATAACAATTGATCCGTTTAAAAAAATGCTGACATGCTCTGGGAGTGCGGTAGGGAAAGTTAGATCAAATGGGAATATGTCAAAATGTGTCCCTCTGTATACTATTGTTGACGTGTTTTTTTATTTTTCCTGAAAATCATTGTTCCAAAAGTTAATCAGAGCGGCTCGTTTTCAACTCAAATAATTTGTAGCTCCCGAACCATAAGATTTATACTTTATTTAAATCTGAAGCATTTGATTACGCAAAACAATATAGGGTGATCCATTTTAAAAAAAATTAGTGACACGCTCTGGGGGTGCGACGTGTTTTTTTATTTTTCCTGCAAATCATTGAACCAAAAGTTATTCAGGGTGACTCGTTTTAAATGGAATACACTGTATAATAAGCAAAATATATCGACGGTAGATGTGTGGTCAAATGATTTCAAAATTGCATATTTTTTGGCACATTGAAAATCTTCTGCCACGATGTTAATCACACGATAATGATCTGCCAATAATATTTTTCAATAATATCAACAATGTACTTTTAAATTTTCTAATGGGAGACGTGGTGTAGTATATTTAATTTCCTTAATTGTTGATACCTGGCCTAGCTGAGTTCCAGCCATTATCATCGCGCTGGGCTTAGCGACTCCCTATTCATGCAAGGTAGGTATAGGCACCGTACAGAAGTAAACTTCTATACTGCACAAAAAACTATGTCTGATCAAATACATACAGGTAGCCGGTCACTGGCTCTTGGACTACTACGTCTGTCTCCTACGTGGTTCAGTGACCCACCCCACTCTCAACGGATTCCGAAATTCAATAACATGCTCGAAGGGACGTCAACAACCGACCAGGAGTTCATAAATCATAAGGGGTAATGTGTAAACAAAGAAGAAGGTGAGAGCAAAATCTGAAAAATATCTTATATATTTCCCATTGATACATTCAAAGGTTGTACACGGTAACAGTTAAGACTTGGAAGGAAACCAGATCAAGTATTTGTTTCTTCGATATACAGATTCAGTGTTTTCTTCATTTTGAGAGATTTTTGTGTCATGGATTCATTTATTATTGATACAAACTTGCGAAAAACATGTTTAAAAATTCTTGTGGTTCTCAAAAACTTATTGAAATAGTTGGGAAATCACAAACATTTTTGAGCACTCTGTTAGCGTTTTGCATTCAGTATAAGCATGTATTACTTTTCACTATTAGGAAACAAAGTATAGATTCAGAATAATAATTATGACCAATCGAAATATAATAGTTGGTAATGAGAAAATGATGGTGTTAACTTATATATCTGATAGTGCTAGTATTCTTCTTGAAGACATAAAATTCTTATTCGTTATCGAAGAAACTGTATCTCGATTATTTATAATTTTTACAGAGCCCTGAAAATAGAGCCAAAAGCGGGTAGTCTGGCTTCCGCGCGCTTCTCGTCACTCTGACGTAAAAACAAAAAAAATCATTTAAACATATCAAATGTAAATATTGAGGAATGAAAAAATTCATGTAATGTTGACTTTCTAGGCAAAAATACAAATCGAATGACACATTGGTCGTAATTTTTGGACAGGGCTGAAAAATATCACCAAAAAGAGCTAAATCGAGGACATGTGAACCAGACTAATAGCAAAAGATAGTTTTTCTTGTCGCCCTGGCCCTCTCCAAACTTTGTGTCGCCGACTATCACTAATTAAACCAAATCTGGTTTCGTCCAAAAAAAACATTTCGTCTCTGAGCTAAAAGCCAGTCTCTGTGTTCCTGTGCACACTGTAAACGAGCGGCTATGTATCTGGGAAGTAGCCTGGGTACTCTTGATGGCATCATGGATTGCAAATTGGCTCCATCAAGTCTCCGCCGTATTGTGGTACTGGAAATTAATTGACCAAACGTTTTTCTTAAATGAGTTCGGACTGCTAAGACTGTTACAGTTCGATTCCGACGTACATATCCTGCTAGATACCAATCATCTCTTGCATTATTCACCCTAGGATACCCAGTTCCACTTCCTCAGTCAACGCTGTTAGTTTCCTGGTACAAATGCACTGTTCGGATAAATGAAGCGCGGGTAATCCTTAGTCTATCCACGATTTGATGATTCGGCAGACTCTCATCATGCAAAACCACTATTCTTGCTCTATGGAACACTGAAATTCTTATGCCACGCATAATTGCAAGAAAGGACTCAACAATCACTTAAACACGCTAAATCGATATGGACCACTTTTCAAACATTGGTATCTAAAATTACAGGAAATTATTTTTGTAAACATGTTTGCATGCCTAGCACAGGTGAAAGAAATGAAGATGGAATGTACAAAAAACCAGCCATGATAAATGTTCGGTTTTGCAGTTTACGAGGGGGGTCCAAGAATTTTAGCGATATGTGTTAGGACTGAAGGCTACATATACTTAATACTACCTCATTCTAACACTTTGCATTAAAAATCACGAATGAATATTATAAATCCACATCCTCTGTAATGACCAATCTACTGTTCTATGAAACTACCTAAAGTCGATTATTTGTCCAGCCCAAGTGAACTCTTTCGACAAAGTGATCACAAATTACGTATGAATATGAAACGCCTTTTTACTTTTTATTGTCACAAATATTCATTCCTCAATTTATTCATCTAACAATGTATTTGTTTGAATTTAATTGATTCATGCATTTGTTCAACACATTAAAAACGATTGTTCCCAAAATGTGTTCTATTTTAAATGACACTTGATTTAAAATGTTACATGAATCAATTTGTTTGATGAAAAGTTGCGAACAGTTATAATATAGATTCATTGTTTGAAATTTTTGGAAGGAAATGTTTGTCATATATACTTTTTTTGTAACTATCCAATAATTTACTACAATTTCTGTGAAACATGAATAAAATGGTTTGTTGATAATTATAGTTATTAAAATAGAACAAATTTTGCGAACAATCGTTTTTAATGTGTCGAAAAAATGCATGAGTCAATTAAATTCAAACAAATAAATTGTTAGTTGAATAAATTGAGGAATGAATATTTGTGACAATAAAAAGTAAAACGGCGTTCCATATATGAAACTTCTCAAACTAAGATCATTAATAATGTATAAATATACGAAACAAGAAATTCTATCTTTTGCGCAGTACCATTGCGCCAATTCATCGACAAACGAACCGTTATCGTTATTATTATAATCATTGAAAACAATCAGTTTTTATATTTTCTCATGTTTTTTAGATGGAACAACGGATGTTACGCGTACTCTTCATTTTGGAGAACCTACAGATGAAATGAAAGAAGCTTACACAAGAGTCCTGATAGGGATGATTCAGCTATCGACTTTGACATTCCCAAGTAATATGAAGATGGCAGTGGCTGATGCTCTAGCAAGAGCGTCTTTATGGGAAGTGGGTTTAGATTACCTCCATGAAACCGGAAATGGGATCGGAGCATTTTTAGGGGTACAGGAATGTGAGTACATTACATACTAATGAAGTTTTTTGAAAACTGAAATAGGATTTTCAATAGAGCTGTTTCATCCATAACTATTTTTAGTATTTATTGGTTAATTTCGGCTTTAATCTCAAAATTACAACTTTCAATCCGAAATTTCAAATTCAATCTCGAAATTTCGACTTTGATCTCGAGTTTAAAGTCTTAATTTCAAGTGAGGACCATAAGTCACATCGGTGGTGATGTCGCTGAACCATAAATGAATTGCTGGACTCAACTGTCCTTGAAGCACAACCCCCTAAGTGAGAACGGTGACATATTTAGGCGCTTTTTAGGTACCGAAGTCAAAAATTAGGTGCTCTGTAACTTACACCGCAACTCAATATTCAAAGTTGCGTTGCTAGCATTATGTGATGCTAGCAAGGCAATGAAAATAATAATAAAATAAAGAATGTTAAGGGAACACTAATAGGTGCTAATTAAGTGCTAAACAGTGAGGATCGTAAAATTTTCTAATCAATAAGCAAAAGCTTCCAATTTCGCTAAACAACAGATCTAAGAATTAGGTCTCTCGAAAACGAGAGTATGGTAAAGTTTCTATTTGTATTTATGAAGAAAATTTGGATTCCAAAAAATATTTAAATATTTTGAGATCGACTGTGAGTGATTTTCTGGACAATTTGCCCATGAGCTAGTCTCGGCATTGTTGGTATCAGTTGAATGGAGCTCCTTGACATTGCACACGTGAAGTGAGTAGGGAACTAACCGATATGTTCGAAGATCGGTGGATACGATGTTTGGGTCCTTGGATTTGGCCGCCTCGATCGCCCGATCTGACTCCCCTACATTTTTTTCTATGGTCAGCATTTCAAGCATCTGAGCTATTGAATTTTTGTCATGTCTGTATCAAATGTCAAATAATTGCGAAGTTGTTTCATAATATTATCTCTTATTTTTTAGTGTAGAATTATTTTTGTTATCAATTCAATTTTGAAAAGTGTTCGTTCTTCTTTCAAAATAGTATTGTTTGAATTGAAATGTCATTCATGTATTCCATTAAGTAGATCTTTCTGAACTAATATAAAGTTATTATTCATTATTCGAGGAGTTCAATTATTTTTCCACCGAATTTTGTATTTGAAATGTTTTGCATTTGAAATGATATATTTGTATAGAAGCAAGAAAATTATAGAATAATTCATTTCTTATAAACGGTCAAAGATAGGTATAGGACATAGTCGATAAAAGTTGTTCTCATTGGTTGGCTGAATTCGAAAATTGAATGATATACTGGGTGTTCCAAGTAATTTGTATTTTGATGCAAAATTTAAAAATAATATAATATATAGGGTGTTCAATTTGAAATTTCCAAGTTGATGTCTGTTACACATAGATGTGGCAACAATGCGGTGATGATAATATTTTCAAATGATAAATCACTGTCATCTACACCAGTAGCCAAAATTTTGAGCTCTCATCTTTTTTTGTTCTTTAGATACGTCTAATAGACTATCTAATATGGAAATCCCTGTATGTTCTTTATATTTTTCTGTTGCTGGGTGTGAATAAATATATTATTATGAAAAGATTAATGAAAATTTCTATGTTTTTTACCACTTTGATTTGTAACTAGCGTTACTGCAGTTTTGTCTTATATGGACATTCTCAAACTTATATATTAAACTAACAATGATTGATTATATTAGCCCTTGTATAGGGTTACAAATAAAAGTGGTTAAAACATAGAAATTTTCATTTCTCTTTTCATTACGATCTCCTACCACGTAGTAACGGCTACATCTATCGAAATATATTATTAATATTAGTGATAAAATCTCACGTAAATTTAGCTCACGTAAATTTAGTTGAAAGCGAATTCAAACTCACCACTTCTGGGTAGAGAACAGGACACACTACCACAATTTTGTATAAAATACAGTAATAGTTCATAAATTGTGATACATTTGTACATATATACATACATATGCTATTTCGAAACAAATATTCACTTACTTGTCGAGCATCTCGTTATTTATTTAAACTTTCAATTTGTACTTCTCATTTGTATTTGTATTTGGATCTTAAATGAATAAAATATTATTATTATTATTCCATTGTCTATCATTACAATTGTTTCCCTTATTCTGATTGATTAGAAGTTTAATTTTTTTCTAGCACCAATAATCGTTCATTTTAGTTCGGAGACAAGCTTTCAACAAGTTTTCAAACCTGGATACTTTTTGACAAATGGTAACATTTTTTTTTTAGAATTTCAAAATGGGATTTAACAAAAATTATTTTCAGAACCGGGATTCTACAGGGAAGGAGAATTTGGTATCAGACTGGCGAACGTCATGGAAGTAATTGAAAAACCGTGGCTGAAACACGGTGGTCATACATTCCTAGGTTTCAAAGTGGTAACTTTTGTTCCATTCGAGCCTAAACTGATAAAACTGAGTCTTTTGTCACATCAGCAGGTAATTAACATGTTCAAGAGTTGATTTAGAAATCTGAAGCCAACACCAAATCGTTATTTTTAACACTTCGACACGTGTTTCGATCACCAAGTGATCATCTTCAAAGAGGAAGATTAAAACTAAGAACTAGTGCGAGCTAATCCTATTTATGCTATAAAGGTAACCCATACAGGTAAACCATCCAGGCGTACCAACCATACAGGTATACCAACCTAAATTAATTTTACAATTTTGCCTTATCTATTAACTTCCCCTTTGAAGATGATCACTTGGTGATCGAAACACGTGTCGAGGTGTTAAAAATAACGATTTGGTGTTGGGAAAAAACTCCAGTAATATTTATAATCATTCAGTGAATAATAACGAACAAATAATATGTAACATTATGTATTCTTTCACACATGAAGGCAAGCATATTCAATCATCTCAACAACTCATAATTTGTAGCTTCAACTGAGATAAATGTATTTTATGTGGAGACCAGCATTACTTTTAACGGTTTTTTCACGATTTCATAGAGAAAACTGTTTGACGTACCAGAGATGTATGAATGTTGACAATTTTTCTAGTTTGAAAGATCTCAGTGCTGCTAAACCATCGTTATTGTTTGAAGTTATTTTTTTTATCATGAATGGAGTATCAAGTATTTGAGAATATTGCACATATTTGCTTGCTTGATTGGTTGGACCTTCTATACAGGCCGTTTTTTATCATGTGGTAACATTGCTATATTCTAAATCAGGGGTCTCCAAACTACGGCCCGCGGGTCAAATCCGGCCCGCCAGTGTCATCAATCTGGCCCGCGACAGCCAATGATTACCTAATTGTTGTTGCTATTGCTGTGATAAGTTGAAGAAGAAACACAGAATGATAATTACTCGGTTTTATTTACTTGCAAGGTAAAACTCAACGACAGAAATGATGACAAAGAAAACTTAACTCAAGTATCTGAGTTTAAGCATATTAATAGCTAACAAATAATTGAAATGAATCACAGTAAAACAAAAACACTAATGAGATTTATGTAATTGTGATTTTCCACCGACAATACTTTGTAGTTGTGGATCAATTTTACTTGTACCAATTATCAAAAGAGATTTAAGATGCTCATCGGTTAATTGAGATC